TATTTGTCTATTTTGTGGTCCTTCCAGTTGTTGCTTGCAGGCAAGTGGTATTTCTTGTAGATATTCCAATGCTCAATGTTGCATAATGTTGATTGAACCTAATTAATGTTTTGAATCCATTCATTTATTTCATAGTAATTGAAAAGGAAGAAGGGGTTGATTTATTCTCCATAGCACCCAAGGGCAGGACAAGAAAAATGGGTGGAAACTTATCAGAGAGAGATTCAACTTGGAAATAAGAAGGAATTTCTGACATTGAGAATAAATAATACATTTGACAGTTGTCTCCCAGAGTTATGGGAACTCCTTTGCTGGAGATTTAAAAAAAATGATTTGACAACCATTTGTACCAGATGGTGTAAGAACTCCTGCCTTGGCCAGGAGGTTGTACTAGAAGACCTCCAAGGTCCCTTCCTGTCCCATGATGTGCATAGAGGAAGCAACTGCATGAAAGTAGTTGGGTTCTGTTTGTGTTTCTTGCATTTTTGTCTTAATATCCAAGAAGCTGAGCAGGATGTTTTTTGTTCTTTCACAATGATCCCCCAAGAATCAAGATTGATTTGTGATGAAACAGAAATATGATCCTCTGTATCATGCATATCTCAGTTGGGCAATGGTTTTTGACATGTGTGACTATTTGACTTTAAAAATTGTTTAGAAGCTGTGCCATTAAAAATAAATGAAGCTTAATCTTTAGTATACTCACTCTCTCTTGTAGGTTAATCAGTTCTTCTTTTGTATTTCCTAATCATAAAAACAATAATGTAACTTTTTATCTAAAGTATTTAAAGTACTTTTACAAAATGAAACCTAATTATTCTGACATAGAGCAAATTCAACATCTTAAATGAAAGAAGAAAATTGATGTAATTTCAAATAATAAAAAGTTACTTCTAACATAAAATTATTACAAGAAACACCCTTCTATATAACATGAAGCCTAATTTCAAAAAAGAACAAGATATATATATATATATATATATATATNTAATTCCAGTGGTAATTGGCACACTGGGTGCTATTCCAAAAGCACTGGAATTACATTTAAAACAGTTAAAAATTGACAAAATCACCATCAGTCAAATGCCAAAAGCCACACTGCTTGAATCTGCACGCATATTACGAAAATACATTATGACGTCCTAAAACCCTGGGTGGGGCCCGACTAGTAACCAATGCCAAATCCGGCAAAACAACTGGTCGCTGTGATACAATTGTATAATAATAAATAATAATCACAGGATTGCCCAATTGATTTTTGTGAACATGCTTCACTACATATTATTTGGAATTAAACACCCACTTTCTCTATTATTAATCCTTAAAATGCTCTAGTATAGGGGTGTCAAACTGGCGGCCCATAGGCCGTATGCATCACATGCAGGCCACAACCACCTCTGTGAATGGGGAAAACGTCGTGAAACATCACATGATGGCAATGTGACACAGCACGTTTGACACAAGTGCTCTAGGAGATGGTCTTCTTAGAAGAAGAGTGGAAGAGAAAACTAAGATCTATGTTTTGTCTCGATTGTTAGGCAAATCTTGGATCATTAGGCAAATCCTAAACTAGGATAAGTGTTCTATTTCCAGGTGTTGGAGTATTTTGTGCTTCTACTCAAACAAAGATAATTACAAGAACTCCAATAGATGGTCCAAACAGACCCCTGTCACCATCATGAGATAATTTCTTTGGCAACCTTCCTGGGTAATATAAAATTACGTACAAGACAAAGAATTTGGGGAGTATCAGTCTGTTATGATATATGACCCAGTGAGGGAAACAAGAACATTTTCAGTGTAACATTACTGGGTCAAAAGTATCTGAGCAATACAAGCCAGCTGCATTTTTGAAAATTGCTTCTTAATGATAGCTCTAGGAAATAGATATTTCTGTGTCAGCACTGCTATTTAGTTTTTCAGTTTAACCTACTTTATACTACAGCCAAAGCAAAAAAAAAAAAAAAGGTGCATAGAAGTCACTATCGAAACAAGTGGACTGAGAATCACGGCAGGCTAATCCTATGGGAAATATTATTTCTGGCATGCATAATGTCTTTTCTCAAGAACCTACTTGAAAAAAAGTGAAATTAAAGCAGCATTCTATGTAAGAGTTAACCACCATAGAAACTTGCTCAGCTATAACACATTCACATCAAAGATCATTACCGCAAATGCCTTGTCCTAGAAATTCTTTTTGTTGTTTTTATGATTGTGTATATTCCTTTGTATATATGAAAACATATGAAACATAAACACGTCCTGTTTCATATCAGCTAGATTTAATTGCTAATTCTTCCTGCAAGTGTTTGAAGGAGATTAAAAAAAAAGGTGCAATGTACCTCTGTTTGAACAGGAAAGCCTAAAAACACTGGATGTCACACTACAGGCAGAAATCATGTATTGTATATATCAATGATGTCTAACCTTTTTGTCGTTGCATGCTGAAAGTGTGAGCCCGCACCATAATGCAATGCACACGTGACATCCCCCCATATCCCACCCCTGTACAAGTGTACACAACACCCCCATTTTCCCCCTGCCCACACACGTGTGTATGATTCCCCCCGCACTACCCCTGCCCCCCCACGCATGCATGTGCAACACCACCACCCCCTGCACCCGCCATTTTAGTCCTAGAAAGGCTCCCGCAGCCTCCTGGGACCAAAAATGGGCCACGGGGGGCACTGCACCCATGCTTCATCTTGCACATGCGCATATGACCCCCTGCACATGCAGCCCCCTACACATGTGCACATGATCCCACCCATCCCTCCCGCTGTGCATGAACGCATGACCCAAAAACCAGCTAGTTCTTTTCTCTTGCCTTTTTCCTGGTGCGTGGAAAGACCAGCAGAAGGAATGAAAATTAAAGATCATGGAAAGAAGTGAAACGTGGAGCTTTTTTCCCTATGAAAGGGCAGGTCTTCAGCTCTTGAGAAAATACAAAACTCCAAAATCACACAGTTCAAAGGCAAAAGCTGGTTGTGATGTAAACAATAGGAGGGAGGACACTATCTTGATCCCAGAAGTGTTTATCACACAATAAAAGTACTTTCTAATTTTAGGAGCACAAAAATTGTATTAGATAGATGTGGTAATTGTTTACTTGTTTTAATACTTGGCCTTATAATTATTTCATTTTATAGTTTCATTTTGTATTATGTTAATATCCGTTGTTATGTCAGCTTAAAGTTATATGTAGACAAAAGCTCCAGCAGCTTTTCTTAAATAGCAATAGCACTTAGACTTCTATACTGCTTCACGGTGCTTTACAGCCCTCCCTAAGTGGTTTACAGAATCAGCATATTGCTCCCAACAATTTGGGTTCTCATTTTACCCAAGAATGGAAGGCTGAATCAATCTTGAGCCTGGTCAGATTTGAACTGCCAAATTTCAGGCACCCAGCAGTCAGTAGAAGTAGCCTGCATTACTGCATTCTAACCACTGTGCCACCGTGGCTCATAATCCCCAAACTAACAATGTACCTGATGCTACAAGAGCAAATATTTTACTGCTCAACAAATATTAGAAGCATTATCAGGCCTTTCATGTTGCAGCAACATTGGGGTCATTTTTATAATAATCTGGTGTGTACATGTGAACTGAAGGCAAGACATTGGCATAAATCCATAGCTTGTGGCCACTTTATGACCATTATGATAAATATTACTAGCATCTCCATGGATATCTATCTACCTAATATCACATTTTCTGCCAGTGATCATGTATGAGATATAGATCATAGCAAAAAAAGTACATTTTTATAATATTTGTAAACAACTAGTGGTCACGTATGTATTCATCACAATAGGAGGATTATATGTAGGTATACAAGGTATGCTGCTTTAGATCATCTTGAAACAGAGGAGTATTGACCTGCCTTTCTTTCCTCCACTTCTCACAAATACATACATATACACATACATGCATAATAGCAATAGCATTTAGATTTATATACTGCTTTACAGTGCTTTACAGCCCTCTCTAATTGGTTTACAGAGTCAGCATATTGCCCCCAACAATTTGGGTCCTCATTTTACCCAAGGATGGAAGGCTGAGTCGACTTTGAGCATGGTGAGATATGAATTTCCAAATTGCAGAAATTGCAATTGCAGAAATAGCCTGCAGTACTGCACTCTAACCATTGTGCCACCATGGTGCCACATTTAGCTAAATGCAAGTTGGATTGAAAGCATTGGTGGGTATTTTTCAGGTGGATTCAGGATCGGGTGAATCTATAACCTAGTAACTTTTTGAATAGAATAAAATCCCAAAGGTAGGGCAACTGAATCTGAGCTCTAATAAAAATAACTGCTACCATCTCATGGTGTCCAGACTTTTGCAGTTATCATCATTATTTAGATTTTGTAATTGATTGTGTGCCATCAAGACATTTTTTACTTCTAGCAACCACATAGATTTTTTCCACGATGATCTATCTCTGACCTGGTGTTTCGGGTCTTCCAATGGTGCACTGATTGGCCAGCATGATTGAACCAGTGGTGAGTTGCAGGAGGTACACCCCGATACAGGCATACCGGAGCCTGCCGGCGCACCATATACCGTTCTGGTGTGGTGCTCCGGAGGGCCCACCTGCCCGCCCGAGTTCCTTACCGGTCTTTTAAGTCTTCGGGGCTTCCGTGCATGTGCATGGCACATACAGCGCCTGCACANTGGCAAACAAAGATTGTTATAGCCACTGCCTCAGCAGCAGGCAGCAGGAAAAGGAAAACAAAAACGTAGTTGCATCTGTTTGATCTGAAAGTGTTAATTTGATTTTTTTGTAAAGCTAACCCAAAATACAAAACTCTAAAATAATTCATAAGAAAATGTCCTTTGGGGAACGGAAAACAACTGTGTGTTATACACTGAAAAAGAAAACCACTTTCGTATCAATCTTTTACATAGAAATCAGTCATCCAAGAGTCTCTAGCTAGCTGCTACCAACTCTTCCTCCATCCCTCTCATTTCTCTCTCTAAATGTTATTGTTTTCCAGGTAATTTTAAAGATCGTGCTGAAATATTGCACTCAGGCATTCATATTAAAAATGTGACCAGAAAGGATTCTGCAAAATATCGCTGTGAAATTAGTGCACCTACAGAACAAGGACAAGGCACAGGGGAAGTTGAAATCTCTCTCTTAGTCTTGGGTAAGAAATCTAAATGATCTTATCATCAGTTTAAATCAAATTTTAATTTTAATTCTGCAGGGTAGCATCATTTTTCTTTAAATTTAAGAGCTGATACAGATGAAATACAGGAATATTACAATTTTATGAAAAAAACTTTTTACGTCAAATAAGTGCATCTATTTGGATCAGGGTTAATTAATTGATTTTAAATGAGAAAAGTAGGAAAAGTAGGAAACTTAAAGAAACATGTTAGGCACTTTAAACAAATTAGCTATAATTTGTTTAAGAGGCATAGTGGTGCAGTGGTTAGAATGCACTGGTTCCAGGTTGACTCAGTCTTCCATTCTTCTGAAGTTGTTAAAATGTGGACCCAGATTGTTGGGGGAAATATGCTGACTCTGTAAAGCACTCAGAGAAGGCTGTAAAGCATTATGAAGTGGTATATACTATACATATAAGTGTTATTGCTATTACTATAAAAATAACCAAGTTTAGATGGCAAAGCATCCTGTGGAAGACTTCAGTCTTTAAAAGGTTCTAGAACAGGGGTGTCAAACTGGATTTCTTCAAGGGCTGGATCAGCATTGTAGTTCTCTGCGGGCTGTGGGGGTGCGGGAGTTGGAGGGAGATGGGACAAAATGGGGCATGGGACCGTGTGCCCCACCCCACCTCATTTTCAGCCTGCCTGGCCTCCAGTGGCACTCTGACGACCAAAAACAGGACCCATGAGGCCCCATGGGCCCATTTTTGGCCTCCCCGGCCTCCAGCAGCACAATGGTTGGCTGGCAGAGTGCTGCAGGAGGCTGTGAAGGGCAAAAATGGGGCATGGGGGCGCAAATGCCCCTCATGGCCCATTTTAGCCAACAGAACTCCAATGCGCCAGATTTAAGCACCCTGCAGGCTGGATTCAGTCTGCAGGCCTTGAGTTTGACACACCTATTCTAGAAGACTATTTCAGAGAATACCAGCTTAATTTCTAGAGGGAATCTATTCCACAATGTAATTGTCATAATGGAGAAATAATGCTTTCTCATAATGGAGAAATAATGCTTTCTAGCCTCAGCATCACCTCCCCCTCCTCCCGCTCCTGCTTACCTGAGGCAAGTGTGGTCCAACCAATTTCGTTGTATTTAAGTACAATGACAATATAGATTATACTTATACACTAGGCAGTTTTTCCTTGTATTATTTAATGCTGTTGTTGGAAAGAAAATTCGTCTGGTTCAGTTCCAAGCTGGGAGAAAGATGCTGGAAATAAAATGGAGGCTGGAGACTGATTGGAAAGAAAGTCTATTTATTGATGAAAAGAACCACTAGGATTTGTGGTTCTGGGTCAGTTGAACCAGAACCACAAACCCTGGACCTTCTTTCCAATCAGCCTCCAGCCTCCATGTTGCTTCCAGCATCTTTCTCCCAGCGTGGAATTGAACTAGATGGATTTTCCTTCCAACACTGTGAAAGAAAATGTATGTGGAAAATACAATCGATATACTGATATTTTATTATTAATTGATTTATAATCAATCAGCAAAACAGCAAAACACACACACACACACACACACACCATTCAAACTTTCATTTGAGTAACTTGTGAAGAAATATTCAGATTTAGAAATATGGGTATTTGTCTTAGATATATGACATAATTTTCTAGTGCCACCATCTGCTCCTGCTTGTGAAGTGCCTATCTCAGCTCTGAGTGGGACAGTGGTAGAATTGCGATGCAAAGAAAGTGAAGGTGTTCCAGCTTCAAAATACAGATGGTATCGGAATGGTGCTGTTCTGCCTGAGAACACATTTTTTTGGAGGTTCAGAAAAGAAAAAAATTCTTATACTTTGAATACTACAACAGGAACCTTGGTAAGTTTACATTTCTTTAATGACACTTTGTGTGTGATTTTCCAGGCCTCAAAACAATTCAAACTATATTATAACAACATTGAGGAAATTCAAAATGGAACTATAGAAATAGAAAAAAGGAAAGCCAACTGCCAAAACGGTTCACATTGTGAAGATTTTAACTGCAAGTTCAGTTATGAGAAAAATGCATTCTGAATTAAATAATTGGGATTGAACTGATGCAAGAATGGGAACAATACTGAGGAATTTAGTTATTTTAAAAATGTTGAATATAGTTCATTGAATGTTAACTGGGAAGTATACACCATTACTGGAGAAACTTCCCTTCATTCTGATCTTCATTCTGATCTCAAACTAATTTCTGTCTACAAGTCCATTATGTCTGGTCTACTGCATATACAGGATTATTTCCAAAGACCTGTTGGTGATAAAATCTGCCTGAACAGGAATCCAGAATCTCATCCCACTTTGAGAACAATATTAGCAAAACAATTGATTGACAAGAGCATTGATTGTGAGAAAATCAGGCTTGAAATACAAATTTCATCACTGAGCATGTGCTGAATTCTTACAGAATAGTAACTTAGTAACAATAGAAAAACTAGTTTATATTTTGGATCTTTTTTCATTGGCACTATTCTGATAATTAAAGAGTATTTTATCACTTTATTCTTACATGGTTAGCAAAGCACTTTTTTTTTTTTTGAAAAAAGGATACCAGTTTGCATGTAACAAATAATTAACTTTCTATATCTGATACATACTTTGAAGAAATTAAAGGCAAAATGGGTAGTGACTTCCAATCCATTTTTTTACATTCCTATGACTTTCATGTCTCTCTATTTTATTTTATAATTTTTCAGTTTCATATCTACAACCCCACTAACATTTCAGAATTTGGTACTACCTTTTGCTTATGTTTCCTCTGAAAAACAGTAACTTACTTCATTAAATTAGCTGCCAGATGTTGACATATTGTAAATAAATATTTCTAAATAATGCAAAGAAATATATAGAAAATTTGTACATCTAATTGTTCATGAACCTTTTACCTGATAATGAGTTATGCTGTATTTTCTTTTAAACTAGCTGTTCAATCCTGTTTCAAAGAATGACACTGGGGAATACTACTGTGAAGCTTATAATAGAGTTGGACGGGCTCGAAGATGTCCTGTGAAGAGGATGCAAGTGGGTAAATATCAAATGCAGATAAGGCCAGAAAATGTTTCTATGAAATTGTTATAAGTTAAAGAGGATTTATTGTCCAGAACCAGTTTAATTTTTTAAGGCACTATTTTGACAAGCTTACCATTTACATTTTGTAAGGACCAATCTTATTTTAAGTCTGAGACTTTTACACAGAATTTCTATCAACTAAATTTTAGGGTAATGAATACTAATCTTAACACATTACAAGCAGTCCTCTACTTACAACTGTTCATTTACTGATCTTTTGAAGTTACGGTGACACTGAAAAAAGTGACTTATGACCAGTTTATAACCTATGAAATGTTAGTGCTGGCCCACCTGAAAGCCACCATGGATCCACTGTTAGACCACTTTCAATTTGCCTACTGAGCAAACAGTTCAGCAGATGATGCTGTTAATATGGCACTGCACTATACCTTACGGCATCTTGAATCTACAAGGACCTATGCGAGGGTCCTTTTTGTAGTCTTCAACTTGGCATTCAATACTATCATTCAATATATTCTTCTCACTAAACTGACTCAGCTAACTATGCCTGACCACACCTGTAAACTCATAAGCTTTCTAACAGATAGGAAGCAGCAGGTGAAGCCAGGCAAAATCACATCAGATATCTGTACAATTACCACAGGTGCTTCCCAGGGCTATGTGTTCTCTCCATTACTCTTTTCTCTCTATACCAACAATTGCATTTCAAAGGATCCCTCTGTTAAAGTACTGAAGTTTGCAGGTGATACTACAGCCATTTGATCTCATTCAAGACAGCAATAAATTTGCACATGGACAGGAAGTTGAACAGCTGGTCCTGTGGTGGGCCAGAACAATGTTGAAATTAACAGTAGAGATGATAGATTTTAGGAGAAGCGGTCCTATTCTACCACCTCTTGCAATACTAGACAACACAGTATCAACAATACATACCTTGAAGTTTCTGGGTTCTATAATCTCTCAGGACTTGAACTGAACACCTAATATCAGAAACATCATCAAAAAAGCACAAGAAAGAATGTTCTTCCTGTGCCAATTCAGAAAACTCAGACTGCCCAAAGAGCTGCTGGTACAGTTCTACAGAGGAATTATTGAGTCTGTCATTTGTACTTCAATAACTGCCTGGTTTGGCACAGCAACCAAACAGGACAGACACAGACTTCAACAGATACAGTAGCTAGGGCTGCAGAAAAACCAACTGCAACCAGCCTGCCTTCCACTGAGGATCTGTATACTGCATGAGCCAGAAAGAAGGTTGTGAAAATATCTACAGACCCCTCACATCCTGGATATAAACTGTTTAACTTCTTCCCTTGAGACAATGCTCTAGGGCATTGACACAAGGACAGTTTTCCCTCTATTCCATCACGCTGCTAAACAACTTATTTCCATAACACTGTTTTATTCCCTGGCATGTCAAACCATGTAGCCGAGCTATATTACTATTATCCTTTTCATCTCTCCCGTTAGCTATTCCTTTAGCATCTTATGACTATAACTTGGTTGTTTGTGTCTTATAATTTATATTGATTGCTTTTATTTAGTATTTCTAGGACTATCACTGAGTGTTGCCTCTTATTATTTATGATGATTATATTTTATGATTGTGATCATGATTTATCACTTGTTGCTTATATGTACACTGAGAGCTTATGAACCTGAGACAAGTTCCTTGTGTGTCCAATCACACTTTGCCAATAAAGAATTCTATCCTATTCTATATTCACATTTATGACAGTTGTAGCCTCCCCATGGCCATGTGATAAAAATTCAGGCATTTGGCAACTGACATGTCCCAGGGTCATGTGATCAGCATTTGTAATCTTTCCAGCTGGCTTTCAATAAGCAAAGAAAGTGGGGAAAGCCAGATTCACTTAGCAACCACATGATCTATTTATAAACTGCAGTGATTTGCTTAACAACTGGCAAAAAGGTCATAAATTGCCTTGCTTGGCAATGGAGTTGAGGACTACCTGCACTATATTAATTTTTTACTGAACATAACAATAGGTACTAGAGTGTGGTGATCAAGTGAGCAAATGTTTTTTTTTAATTTATATGTTTTTGTTTTATTCAAAACAAAGTTAAAATACAAAATTCAGAACTAAAAAAAATCAAAAGGACAAAAGGAAAAAAACACAAAACACTCAAAGCATTAAAAATGTGCATCAAAAAAAAACATTACACACATATTATCCCCTTTAGTTTAATACTGATTAATATATTACTACATTAGTTCCCACTCCTTGCAAAACAAGCCCTCCACTTTTTTTAAAAAATTACTATTTACATCTAGTTACAATTTGTTGACCTGTTTTCTATATGTTATATTAATGATCAAATAATTAACAGAAAAAAACATTAGTGAAACATAAGAGTTAACTGGCTGCTTTTGTAATCCACTCATAGAAAATTTACCATGGCATCTATCTATCCCAAATCATCCCAAAAGTTATAAACAAATCATTCTGGGTTAAATATCTATGTTAGTTTCTTAATATTATGTCTAGTCATTTACTATTTAATTAAATATAGCAAATGTAATCTCCAAAATAGGCCCATCAAAGTGCAAGCAGAAGTAATTGCCAATTAACTATAATAAATCCATTCAGTCTCCCTCAGACTTCGAAGAGATCTGGAATCTGTCCTTTCCTTTTTAGTCAAAACCATAACATTAAAGGATGTGCAGACTTAACTTTCAGAACAACAGATGAAGCTTCAGCTCTTAACATTATTTTAACAATTATTAAAGTTTAATCAAGTTTTCAAGAGAGAAACTGCACATAGAAGCTGCACATCACCCCACTCTCCTTTCTTAGGTTCAGAGACTGTTCAACCATCTTAATCTGTGAAATTTAGTAAGGAACAAAGAACCAAAAAAGTATGTTTGCCTCTATATACCCATCCAAGGTTATAAGAAAAGTTCAATGGAAATAAACTCCAGGTGTTTTACAAATTCAAAAAAATACAGAATTCAGTGGTGAGAGTCTGAAAGCTGTTCACCACCCCTGAACATTTCTATGCTTTCCATACAGAAGAGAGAGGTTATCCAAAACAACTTATATCAAAAGAGAGAGAGACAGAGAGAGACAGAGACAGAGACAGAGAGACAGAGAGAGAGAGAGCGAGAAGGCAATTAGAATCCAGCAAGAGGTTGAGATAAATGAGCACCCAACCATTAACCAACCTTTTAAAACAATAAGCAAAATAAAACAGTGAAATCAAAAAGTTAAAGTTAAAATTGTGGCATGCTTAGAAAACAAAACTGCTTGATGGGAAGATGGATACACCCAATGACTTTTTGATCCCTTCCAGGGGGAATTGGAATCTTCAAGAACTCCCCCTCTTTGCCCACTGGGTCCACAATCATCCAAAGGTCATCTTGGGTCACTCCTAAATGCTCCTATTCAAAACCAGGAGCAGTGCCAAAGAACCAGCTTTAGAAATGAAATCAGCATCTTGAAAGGGGGGCACTTAAATGTTGATAATTTTGAATATGGACCTGTATTGCTTTAAATCTTAAAATAAGATACAACCATTTATTTTTAAATAGAAATCTAAATACTTTTAAAGTACACAAATCATAACAATGGGAAAAGGATATCAAAGATTTTTTCCCATATGAAAATGTATACATTGATACTGTCAGAATCATTCTCTTTGTACCCCTAACATATGCTCAAATATTTGTGTGTGTGTTTGTGTGTGTGTGTGTGTGTATGTGTGTGTGTGTGTGTGTGTTTTTTAATTTGTGCTGATAAATAAATAAATAAATAAATAAATAAATAA